CCGCCGCTGCCGGGGCTCGAAAACGCTTAAACGCTTCATTGTCCCACGAGCAACAAACAGCGTGACCAATGGTACATCTCCCTTTTGCCTTCATCTGCTTCTTCTGCATGGCATCGTGAAATGTTTGAGATGACTTTTTAACTGTCGCGCGGCGGAGGACGCCGGTCCGCTATAACGGGCGCGGATCGCGTCGCGCGAGCAAAAAGTAATGCGATTCGAACTATGCCGTAATTGAACGCGTTTTATGTTAATAACGACGACGCACTCGCCGCGACTCACGAGACGACGACGTCTTAAACTTCACAAAGTAATGTTAAGTGCGCTCATTACGCACGCATTAAGATCGTTTTATATAGCAAATGGATCGATACAATAAAATGCCTCCGCCACGGCGGCCTCGCTGCCATTATTGCTTCTTCTTCTTCATCGGGCGACGGACATCATCCAAGTCGTCGTCGCATAATACCTCGTAAACAAAAAGCCGATGATGATTGATGTCGACGGCAACCACTCACACGCACATATAGGCACCTATGATCGAGAGTGGACTCGAGTTGAAAATTCATTTCTTTTTTCGCGTTCTTCGGTCGCTTGAGCAATTTAATGAGACGTGATCTTGGTAATCGCGACAATGCGCCCATTGTGTGGTACCATGTGGTTTGTGCGTCGTCACTTTCCATCAGTGCATTGTTCTAACTCGAAAACAGTTCGAATAGAAAAGAAAACAAAAATGAAACGGGCACATTCACTTTCAACACGACTATATCAAACTTACACAAGCGTTTTATTATGTGAATTATTCAAGAATATGTTAACTAAGTTGAATAACTTCGGCTCGATTGGTAGTGAAGATGCTGCGCTGTAACTTTATTAGTGTGAGTCTTTGCTATGAGTTTTAAACTTATATCATTAGTTCTCTCCGAGTATCTCTACGTATGATTATTCCAGTTGTCAACAATCTTGTGCACAAGCAATAATCAAAAATACTTAACGTTCCTGCTGCTGGCGCAGACCGTAGAAGGCAAGCGTGTTTGAATGTGTTGTGTTGGCTCATCGTGCGACTAGTTTATTAGGCGATGACGATGTTAATATGATATGCACGACGTTCAATTTTACTTTTCTCCCTTTGCTCGCCGCCTTGAAAAATCTCCATGTCAGTTGGCGGTCTGTACGCGCGCGCCGCATGCGTTTCTTCATCGTGGGATTATTGACGCTTTTTCTTGTTTCGCCTGCGCCGCGCCGCGGCCCGTCAAATCAAACCCGCTTTTCATTAATGCCAAAGTGCTGATAGCCCACGAACAATTTTCATACATAAACACAAAACAACGCGGAATTGCACGCGAGCAATCCGCAGAAGAGGTAGTGCATAGCGTTTTGATGACGCTTTAAATGAAGATTGAAGCGAAGCAGACGAAGAAATCGAATCTCGGCGCGCATTTACGACTTTGATTCGTTAGCAGTTAGCGCTCAGAATTCACGAGCACGACCGCATGCACACACGCACACACACACACACATGCATTCATTCTTGTAGTTGGAGGCCTCACGGGTTACCACCCGGTCCGCATAAAGCAAAAGATGAAGACGTCTCGGTGGCAGCTCAAGGACGACCGGACGGACGGACCTAGCTAGGACCACGAGTAGTAGTACCTACCACCACCATCATGAGACCACGAGACTAAGATCAAAACCAGCGCGCGCGCTCGAGGGCCTTCGAGTACACGACGTGTCCGAGCAAACTCATGTGCTTCAACACACACGCGCAATGCCATTGTGCTCCATGCATTCACAGTGCAATAATAGGTTTATAATACATCTGCGCATCTCGACTTCTTGTGAGAGTCGAAAAAAAAATTCCGCGCGACTCATTACCTCTACCTGCAACACATACCCAGCGACGTTTTACGCGTTTGCCACTTCGTCTCGGTCTCCGCCGCCGCCACACAGACAAAAACCTATTGATTAACCGCGGGCCGTGTCCGTCGTGCTCGGTTATAACTGACCATTGGCGCGCGCGTCTCTTCGGGACTCTTCCGCGTCCAGGCGAGTAAAAAGTCCACAAAGCGTCTAGTGCTCGGCGTTCTTCTCCGCTATGCGCTTTATTATACCGTTTGTTACACTCGCCAATCGTCAAAGCGCAAACGTGCGCTCGACGAAATCCTTATCAAGATGCCGGGGCCCGCCTGCCAACCGTTCACGTTTGCCAATCAAGCACAGAGCGCCGTGGAGATCTAGACGCGTGTGTAGAAACTGGAGCTTCGTGCGCCAACCTTCCAACACGAACACCACTTGACGTTAATATATTAATAAACGTTGAGGCGCATGATTAATTGCCTCGGACGAGATTATTACAGATATATCCACCATCTAGATAGACATCTCTTCATCGCTATTCTAACTTAACCAGTGACATCTAGTAATGCATAGCATTGACAGTTCACCTAACCTCAATGTACATAATTGATGTATAACAGATGATGCGTGAATCTGTGACAGTATTCGCAGAATTAGGTGAACGTGCTTTTGTTGTACTTATAGTACAGACACGCATTGTTGTCTTTTACCACAACTTCTCACGAAGATCTCGTTGCGGAGTCAACACGCAAAGAGCGAACGTGCGGCGCGCACAGGCAAATTAAGTCATTAGTTGGGCTCCATTGGAAAAACACGATGATCGATCACGCCCGATGTGATTTATAACGTGTAATTATCGATACGTATCTTAGAAACAACAACCGCACAACCGCCAAAAATTAATGATATTGTTTCTTGTTGCGTGCGCGAGCACCGCCATTGTAGACAATCGATTCGGTATCCGCGCGCCGATCGAGATCGTGCCACGAAATTCCGAGCGAGCTTTCGGTACCAATTGGAATATTGAAACGTCGACTTTGGTCTCTTCTTGGTTTTACGACCGGAATGATAAATGTTGACTTTTACAAGTTTTAAACACGCATTGAGAGATAATCAGAGTTTAATTATTTTTTTGTTGTCATGAAAACCAACCGTATACACTGTGCAGATGTTGCTAATGTCATGTTAACTGCTTTTTTTTTACGAAACATTACGTTTGAATTCCATGTTGATGTTGTATTGTTATTATGAGGCATGCAAATAGTGAAGAAAAAACTTTCGAGAATATAAAATGACATTTTCTCGGAAATTAATTATTTCATCGTGTTGTTTTCCTGCGTTTTTCCTCTGCCTTATAGAAAAAGGCGGATAATAACTGTAATGACACGGCGGAGCTGTAAAACGAATGCGTGCTGCGTACGTTTTCCGATGATTTTTATTCATTTCATACTCGGATGACTTCTTCGGCGTCAGTCGCCGTCCTGTCTCTCCCTTCTCGCACACTCGTCAGTGTGTCAATTATTTTTTTATACGCTCATGCCCACAGCCTACGCACCGCATCGTACAGGTGCATTTTTTGTGTTTCCACTGTTTCCATTGTTGGCTCTGCGCACACCAAACACACAAAGGCCCCGGCTCACCAGTATACACAGCCGTGGCGGCGGATTCCTTTATGTAATGTCATTTTTTACCTTCTCCCAAAAAAAGCATCGAGTGCTTTCATTCATAGTCGTTTTTATTGCTGCCGACTGCCGCCTTACTACTACCATCATCAACCGGCTGAACTCTTTGAGCACTCGAGCTGTTTGTATTGTCGTTAGTGGTATTTTAAATTTGGTAAACAGCCAACTTCACCTCAACTTGTTCCGACTCATCGTAGTGTAAGCTCTGCTTGGATGCCTTCACAGTCGTCTCTAATTTTCATTGCATTATCATCTCTTCTCGGAATTAATTTCCTCGTGTTTACATTAATTTTACATGGCGTTTCGTGTTATTAAACGTATCGTAATTAAGTTGATACGCCATATGAGTATCGCCGGAATTATTTCAGGAAGTCAACGGAGCGTATAACAACTGTATCCAACTAAGAATAGTTACATTATGCGGATGTTAGCTTTTCCAAAGCGTCGTAACATGAATTTGAGGAAAATGTCGCGTATAGATGATTACCCGAGTATTTATGACCGTATAAATGTCATTCTAGACTTCCTTCTTGGTTTTCCATACCCAAACGTGCCCAATTACTTCATTTCAACGTATTAAACAATCACCAGATCGTATTTCCTGCCGCTTGACATTTTATAACCTATTTTAAAAGCTTTGATCAAAATGGCAGTTTGGATAATGTGTTGCCTACATTGCAAAACTTTATTCTGCACACATATCTAAATCAAACGATCAATAATGACCTTTTAATTATGGTCATGTGGATATAATGAAATACATTAAAGCCCACTGTTTATGCACTGTCGCTGGCTGGTCGCAGCAACGGCAGCTGTTTGGCTGTCTCGTCCCGAGCCGAGCGTTTAAATATAATTTCAACACCATTGGCAAATCCGCGACGTTTATCAGCGCGTTTTAATCGACACCACACTTAACATTATTTATCTCTCGCACCGGCCCCGCGCTCGTAGCCTGGCTGCGTTTATGCATATTCACACACTAGAATCCTGCGACTGAAACGCATCGGGTGCTGCTACTGACACTCGAGTACGCGTACACTTTGCCAGCATTCATTAAATTCCATCGATAAGCTCCACAGTACGTACGCGAGAGCATCGATACCTACTCCACGCTTCTCTTTCAACACTTTGCGCAAACATCCTGGGTAGTTCTCTAGGAATGCGTATCGTGTACCTAAAGGCCCTGGGTACCTTGTTACCGTCTGGTTGCATACATTTACGCGCGCGCGCGCACACTCCATGAGTACTTGTTTATGCGAAGACAATATTCGAAACATGCATTTATCGGCCACGCTTATCCGCGCACACTTGCGCTCGTCTCAACGAAATAATTGTTATTATTCCGTGCTGGTAACGCTCCGCGGATAGTTAAGTTTAATGCGCATTTAATCCTCACCTTGCGACGAGCGCTTGTAAAATATATCAGCTTGCTGCCAGTGAGGTATGAAAGAAACTAACTTTATGTAATCGATACAGTTGCAACGCGTTACGACGTAAACTGTAAAAGGTCCTGTTGTGTGTTGTGTTGTGTGGATGGTGACTGGGGTTCCGTAAAAGTGTAGCAATAAACCGAGAGTGAACTCGGATTGCTATATCAGCGCGTTCATAAATCCGGTGCTCCTTGCGTTTGCTTTTTATCAAGATCGCTGCGTTCGGCAAGCGTTGTTTATTGTCCTGCGAGTGCTTACTTCTTGCTACGCGGCGGTGAAATATGAATCAGATTGCCGGCGTCGACAAACACTTTCACATTGTTCTCGCGTAAATTACACTTCCATTTGGAACGCAATTGAAGTGGAATTGGAATCGAAGGATATCATTACTGGAATGCGATACAATTTAATTCTTAGATTAAATGAATTAATGTAGCATTATTCAAATGGCGATTGCACATTGATTGAACATTGTTCGCCAAACGAGGCATAAAATTAGAGCTGCGAATTGTATAGACGATATTGAAGATTGTGATTTTATGATTTTGCAGATGGTGACGGCGTTAGCCCCCAACGAAGCCAATAGTAATATGAGTGGAGACGGCGGCGACTGGTGGAGCGGTACACTGGAGGAGGACGCCGTCGGTGGGTTGCGGCTGGACGAGGCGGGTTTGTGGTCGGGCAGTTTTGTGCCGCCACCGCCACGGCCCCTCTTCCTCGACGAATCGGCGACGCCCGACGGCCTTACAACCTGCGACCTCTGCGCATGGGCTTGGCAGGAGGGCAAGACGTTCACCCTGGATGCAGCACTAGGTGAGTGTTACCAAAAGCAGAACATGCACGCATTTTGCATAAATTATCAAGCATGGTGGAACGCACTCGTAGGAGTGCGCGCGCGCAGTGTGGTGATGTGACGCCGAGCCGCGTGTACAATTACTCCCGACATGGCACACAATTTAACTCTCCTGCAGTCTCGTTGCACGCTCGGGTCCGCGACAGGCGCAAAAGTACAACGGCAGTAAACATTGCACATGCTACGCATTTTCCAAGCACGGATTGCCATTGGCGTTGGTGAAGAGAAGAAAAAAAAACACACCCATACACGCAGGCGAAAGCATTTGGTAATTATCGCAACCCGTGCAATGTGCACATAAAATTGCCATAAAATCCGCACATTGAGTGACCAAATGGTCACAATTACCTACCATTTTGTCTAGTTAAACATTTTTAAACCAATCTAATTAAGCACAATAAAAACGCTTGCGTGGTGCTTCCCCAGGAGAATGGTTTTTGTTGTTTTCTAATTTGTTAATTTGCTCAAAACTTTGAGAAATACGTTTGGTGTTAATGAAGGCTCGTTATTTATACGTATTCACATTCGAAAATGACATACGAAATTACCGCCGGCCGCCGGAATGCCTCAAACGAGCCAAACATTTACTCTCTTGTGTGCACGAAACTGTAATCACGACGTTTTTCCACTTCTCAGAGTTTACAACTCCGAAAGCGTTTTTATGTCGCGGCAAAATTAATTATTGCCCCGTTGCGCGTAGAAAGTTGAAATTTATGGCGTCGACATTTAAAATCGCGATATTGTAATCAAGCAATTTATTTAAAGAAAAAGTTTACTTATTTTGAAGTTTTCAGAAAACGTGCATCGTGCAGAGTAATAATTTACGTATATCTAAAGAGTTTATCTTAATTTATCTATGATTAAGTATAAACTTTTAATTTTCATATTACTTTGTTACATGTAAATGATGTATGCAAATAAGTGCGAGTAAAAGATGGCTGCTCATCGATTTTCGTCGAGGAAATTAAATTAAATTACGCCCCCAGGCCGGACCTCCTCATTAATCGAGAAACCAAAAGCGACTCGGATATCACATAATTTCGTTTTAAATTTATGGCTCGTTTTATCATATTCAGTAGCTTTCAAAAGCCGGGGCAACAATATTTTATCAATAAATTAACCAGTCCGAATGGGATTGGGATCTCAATCTAGAGTAAGTGGTTGCCAAGATGGTAACATAACACCCGGTGCAATTTCGGTCTCCAGCTCGTGGGCCAAGCTTAATAAATGTGAGCGAGACTAAAGGCGAAGAGTCGAGAGAGCCTGGTCTCAGGCCCAGTTCGTGGATAATCAAAAGGTAAAAATTACACACGTACACACGTCCCTTCGACACGCAGCATTAAGATCCTCCGAGCGAGATACGGACGATAAAACGAGGGCGCAATTAGGCACACTCGCACAGGTCTTCATCTTCATCGCATCTTGGCGCGCTGGCGGCTTGTGATACCCGCAACTTCACGTCATCCACGTCGTCGCGGAACGCGATCAATGTTGCGCGGCACCTAATTATAATAAAATTGAACTTGTACCACACGTCGAGGAAGTACGAGTGGTTTATTTCGCTTCAAGGCTGAAATATGAAATCGTCCGCGTCGCATGTCGAGAAAAATCGGTGAAATCCCTCATCGTAAAACGAGTAAAACCTCGGACGTTTATGCCATTCGATGAGTAGCGAAACAGTGGCACTTATGACCCGAACGCGGCACTTAATAGAGACATTAATGCTTCGTCGAATATAACCGTCTTTTGGTATGTTGGAGCGTGGTTATTGGCAGCAGGATGACGTGACGTGGACCTTCATAAATATTATAAATCGAGTCGTCAACCTTTAATTATCCTCGCCGTAATTAACACCCCGGTCGTAAAGCGTGGAATTTATGATCCCAAAGTAAACATTGCTTCATCCGTTGTAATTTTTTTTTTAGTTGCAAGACAATCTCATGATTTTATTTAATAAATAATTCAACTATGAAAGTATGTAGTTATAAATTTGATCAAATATTAATTGATTGTAATGTATGTTCCAGAAGCACCAGGTGAATTGGGTTGGGTCCTGACACTGATCATCGTCTCGTTAATTTCGGCGCTCATCGGCGCCATAGTGATGATCATCGCGTTGCACTGCAAGAGGTGAGTTCGACCGATTTCATTATTACCACGCAACACACAACAAAACAACACACAACAAGACGCGCACCATCAGGAGGCATCCAGTCGAAATCACTTTATTACCACGTCCCACCCATGCGTGCATCTATCGTAATATATTTGTGATTAAAATTTTTTGATAGTTTGATTATCAGTGCGCGCGCGCGCGCGCAGCCCACGGTTTTCCATTTTTATTGGAAATAACGCAATAGACACCTGCGGCGCGAGCGTAGTTAAATAAAATATTCCAACAGTTTTACGACACGGGCGCAATATTTTCCCGTTAGGCCCCGGCGAGAATGCATTCGCGCCGCATCCTTTGTCCACTCGCGTATCCTTCTGCCTGTATGTGTGCTTCATTCTTCATCGCTCGCCGCGAGGAGGAAGCGCGGCGGAAAGCGCGCATTGTGCATGTGCGTGGACTGCGGAATCGAAGAACGTTGAAAAAATCGTAAAGAAACGATGGATGCAAACGCCAAACCAACACACCAACACACAAACACTGATCATTGCGATGATTTATCGCAGTCGCTGTCGTTGCAATACAAGCAATAATTTCTAATACGCATCTCTTGTTTGTTTCAGCAGAATGAAGAATGCTGGATTGAATGCGAACGGTACGTATGCTAGTAGTATAACATAGCCTGCTTGCATTATTCAACGTTATTCAACATTATTCATCGTTTTCGCGCGCGCGAATGTGAATAAACCGTGCATTGCAACGAGGAAATGCGAGACGGTACAAGACAATGTAACAAATAAGCGGTAGGTATTCAACGCCGAGTTTAGCGCATTGTAATGTCAGCCATTTCGAAAACATAACCTTTTCTACACGCTGCCGTGTGTGTATGCATTACGTGCAATACTGCCAACGCGTCACTGATTGTATCCTATTGAGAATAGATGGCGGGCGTGTCGAAAGTCGAAGCCATTTAAATGCGCGCGCATGCTTTATCAGTGTTAGTATCAAATTACGCAGATTGGCGTCTACCGTATTTACAAATTAGCAATTTTCACACGCACGGCAGCCACGCTATCGACGCGTCCGATTTCATCAACGCGTTATCAGCGTATACGCGTGGAAACTTCAGCTTTTATTATGGTCCGGCGTCGAATTCATCTTCTTCTCGTGCAACAGTAAATCAAAATGTTATGATTGATTGCGCACGAACAACCGTAACTGCGGCGCATCATGCGGCTGACTTTTCTCGTGCTTTAGTTCGGATGCCGGCGTGGCAGATCGTTATAATGTGCAGCTCGACTCGTCCGAAATCTGTGTACTGGGCCGACACCACGTAACGTAATAATCAACTTTTCACGCGCCACTCACTGATAATTACACGATGTGCGCAAGCACGGTGTAAGTTTTTAAATATAATCGACCGCGAGCAAGACCAACAGCATGCGCACGGACACACGGTAATTTGTATTATACTGGCTGTTATTCGTAACCGTCGTAACTTGCGTTGTTGTAATTTCATATTAATCTTTTTGCGGTCAAAAGATTACGACGTTTATGTTATGTTAAGCGTTAAATTTACACAGCGCTTTTCCAGAGCAGCCATTCTTCAAAGTGTGAGCAAACAACTGTGAATAGAAAAATGGTTGAAGAGGAAATGTGTGAATGAAATCTATACATAGGTGTATATGTACTGTAACAACTAGAGTTGATGTGCATGAAACTTTAGCGCATGCAGCTCATTCACAGTTCGAGGAAAATGAGTTTAAAGTCGTTTAATATTAGGCATTCGTTTCAGGCATAAGTTCAGCTTGTATTGCCAGCATTTTAATGCGATAATTTTATTGTATCTCCGTAATTGTTTCACACAAATTACGTTTTATTACATAATCTAGTGTTTTAATATTCTGTACGTTTATTGCTTAATACTATGATTACTCACCGATTAAATCACAGTTGTTGATATAATTCTAAATCTTGAAGAAAATTCACTTAAATTTTGTAACACTTGTTAAATTTTTTAATAAACTGTCATTTTAACATGTTGACAGCTATGGTAAAACCATAGCTAACTGTTGAAGTTGTTGAAGTGAAAACTTTTTTAGAATCGTTGTGATTTCAAAATTAAAGAAACGACACTAAATAGAGACAAACGCATTCGTTTTTCATAGTTTAGAATATAAAATAATTAAATATCGTCGGGCAAAAGGGCGAAAATGTGACTAAAAGTGCTAAATATTGAAATATTTCAAATTTTGTTTACTAATTTGTTTGCGTTGATTGTTTATAGAATCAAGAATAACTCCAAGCCATAGATCCCGGACGATATCACCACGTGCAGCGACGCGTCCGCCGATAAGCACCCCTGATGATAAGTCTATATCAGCCATAACTCCCGCCTCCTTCCCGGTGCTACAACAAATCGCTACTAATAATGGCGTGTGGTCGTGGCTTTCGCGCCGCCCAGTTAATGTGCAGTCACAGCTGAATTCGCCGACAGCGCCTGCAGAGAATCATTACACGCATATGGATGAGACTTACAATGCAGTTGGGGAGGCGTTATATGCTGAATTAGATCGTGATTCCAACGGGGGTGGAGATAGCCCTGCCTACCAGAACTCCGCCTACACGGATCCTGATGCGCCAGTGTCAAGTGCGCCGAGTAGCGCTTATTATTCTGACTTATCTGTGACCACGATGCCCGAAAGGGCGTATGAAGTGGTGGGACTGGCGACATTAACGCCCTGGGAGGTGACGTGTGATGTGACTCGGAGGCAGCCGCCGCCGATGCGGCTCGCCTCCATCAGTGAGGCGGTCAGTGTTCCTTCGGACTATGTTTAGTTTTAAGTGTTTAAATACGTAATGAACAATGTACATTCCATTTGTAAATAGTTAATGTGAAAATGTCATACTTGAAACAAACGGTCGGGCAATTTGTGATGATTTGCTTGCCAGTTAGTTGTATTAGCGGCATGAAATGTCAATTTAATTTATGTATTTAATACAAACTAAGTTTATTAATGTGAATTTCAGAGTATCATTGTACAAATAGCGATTCTGAACGTATAAATTATGGTTTGTAAATTATATGTTGTGTTTGTTTTATTTCTACATAAATATCCCACATTTTGATGCGCACTGGTGCTGAGGAAGGAAATGTGTATATTGGGTTGCCTACCGTAAAACTCCAATATAGCATTTTCAAGTTTTATTTATTGAGTTAAATCAGATTATAAAATTAATTTTATCAGTCAGAATATGAACTGCTTGAAGATGAATACCTCCTTTTCCTCTCTTTACTTCTTTTCTTGTTATCTTTCTTATCTTTCCTTTTGCACTCCTTGGTCTTATCATTTTTACTCTTCTTTTTAGATCTTCTGTCATCTTCACTATCTGAATCAGATTCCGAATCATATGAGTCACTTGAATCATCACTTGAAGAATGTTTCCTTTTCTTCTTCTTTGTCTTTAATTTTGATTTCTTCTTCTTAGACTTCTTTTTCTTTGCTTTCTTCTGTTTATCTTTTAATTCCTTCTCGCGCAGTTCAGTCAAAGGGGTCAAATAATCGTTTTCAGACTCACTGCTTGTACTACTTACATCCAAAACAATATCTTTGTTTGGATCAACTTTAATAAAATTTCTGCACTGATATGTCAAATGGCCAGAGTAGCCACATTTCTTACAAGCTGGACGTGCACTCTCTTTTGATGGAGGTAATAATCGAGATCCGTATGAATTATCCATTATAATCAAAAGATTGCTTTATTTACGGCCAATATGGGCCAGTTCAACAACAACAAACTTTGCAACATAAATAAAGTGAGGTTACTGCTGGCTTGGCATCAGAAGTCGAAGTTTCCCGAAAGTCAGTTTTGGCTTGCTTATTAGTCAGTTTAAAAAGAAATAAGTGTAAGAAGTATTAAATATATCAAGTATAAACTTTATTTTGTGCTAAATGGTAAATATTTGTATCTCTATCAAGTTCGGATCAACATTATTTATGTTTAAATGTTTCGTCGTTTCGTGTTAGTTCGTGAGTTATCTGACAGATTGCAACTCAGGCACGAGTCGGACTTGACAACCAAAAATAACATTTTCTAAAGTGAATATAAACCTAGCCTGTTTAAGAATAACATAAGAAAAACTTTGAAACGAGCTATTAACGTGAGTATAACAATTGTAATAATAATTTATACTTTATTCACATTCGCGTTATTGCTGTACATCAAAAATAAAAGCATATTTCGCATTGCTAACCTCACAAATGTGATGTAACTTGGTTTTCAGAACATCACTTTGATGGGCTATATCGGCCGAATTATCAGTCGCTACTCTCTCGTAACGATCCTTCCTATTTTTGTAGTGGGTTCCATCTACGCGGACTTCACCGCAACTCAAAGGTACAAGAAGAAACAGCAGCAACAGCTCATCATACAAAATGCTGAAATACATAGTGCCTAAAGGCATCCAATGGGCTGCCCTCCCTGCAGCAGGTTTCTGGTTTGGATGGTTCTTGGACAAGAAAGAAACTGAAAGGATGGTGCTATTCAGGGACAAGAGTGCCCTGTATGGCCGCCCTATGGGTCCAGATGATAAACCATCTTGGTAATGATTAAATGTTTAGAAATTGTAAAGAAAATTATTAAAATAAATAGGATTGATATAGGCAACCAAATATACGTCTTTTGCTTTGTTAGTAATATTGCAAGCGTAATTATGGTATTTTAATTTTTCCTCTCTTTATTGTGAATTCAAAACAAAAAGTTTGAGATAACTGTTATTGTGTATTTCTTCAGACACCAACTTATAAAGAAGAAGCACCAAGATCCCTAGTTTGTAGATAAGCAGATAACTTTAATGATAAGATATATACAAGGTAAATATTTACATGAAGTAGTTGTAATCTTTTCTACAAGAAGGTATGTTTAATTTCATCTACTTCCTCTTGATTCATAAGCCGTAATAAATCAAACGCTTGTTTCTTAGAATCACCGGTCCATTGTGGAGGTTCATAGTTCTGTGCAGTCTGAGTGTTTTCACTCCAGTTAATAGGACGACAGTCCTGAAGATCATGCCGGAAATCATCCCACCCCTTATCCAAATCTTCGTAAGTATGAGCCGACACAGAGTCTGACGATGATGCAATTGAATTCGGTTTCTTTGTTCTTTTATTGGTAAACATCGAACTTAATGCAAACTTCTTTTTGGCTTTTGGTGCGGACGGGACACATTTATCCGATGCCTCCGATGTTTTATCAGAATCCAACTCTAGCTTCTTCATATTCATTGTTACCTCTGGCAAATCCGGTAGCCGTTTGTTTCTGATACTCGGTTGTAACGGCTTAGCGAAGTCTCTTTTGATGTTATGGATTTCTTTCAGTGGACTGTGGGATTTGAAGCGTACGCGGCGCTCAGACATGGTGCGAGTGAATTTAGTCGGTTTGGGGATTTCCTTGACGTCCATTTTGCGACTGGTTGGCATTATGGTGGATTCACCACAATCGGCTGAGAATGATGTGTCGTTCTTTTCATAGGAAGATGGTTTCATTGCTGTGGATAATCAGATTACAGAAATTAATATATGTAAGTACGAATTAACATATTTCACAAACCTTTTACGCTAGGTTTTAAATCCCTAGCTCGTTTTAGGTATAATTCCGCACGCGAAGTTTTTTCTTTAACAATGCGTTCCATAAGCGCAATTTTTTTCTCCTTTTTTTCTAAATTCCGTTCACGTTCTTGTAATTTTTGTTCGGTTATTTTAAGCTGACTCTCGCGCTTTCTTAAGTTTTCTAATTTTACTTGATACAAACGTTCATAACTCTCATTCGTATCATTTTGTTCAATGATGTGTTTATTCTGATCGCCTTTTGGATTCTCGACAAATATAGGATAATTTCTGTCCTGCCTTTGCTTAAGTAATACCGTAGGATGGCACAGTATAGCGTCAATTGTTGGTGTAACATCTGGCTCTGGATTAGTTAAGAATTTAAGCAGATTATGCAAATCATTAGAGTAATATTCCGGGAAGTCGGCATTCGGCTGGTAGCAAGGACTTAAGTGAGTAATTTGATGCAGTAAAATACCCAAGTCATAAAGATTGCAATTATTGGCGATACTTTCGGTTAGCGAAAAGTTCAAGACTTTTACATCGGCTTTGACATCCACAAAAGTGTCGTAAATATTCGCTGGTTCCATTTGCTTCTGATGACACTTGTAAAAACCCGCAAGTTTATACAAAATCATCCATAAAAAGTCTTCGTGCACGTACTGATGAGTTCTCAAACATTTTTGAATTATATTTGCAATCGAACCGTATTTGCAGTATTCCGTGACCAAATAAACCGTACGTGTTTCTTCGTGAAGAATATAATCGTAGAATTCCAGTAAACAAGTGTGTAGTTGTAGTCGTCGTTTATTAATTTTCTCCAGGACACCATCGGATTGTTCCGCATAAGTTTCATAATTAATCGCTTTCCATACGAACACTTCACTGGTCAGTTTGTTTTTAACTTTGTAACAGGTAGAGTTTAAATTTGTGCCGAGGATGCTCAGCACTTCGTAGTCTTCAAAACAAGACATAATTCCACAATTAAAAGTAGATTTATTTCGCTGATCATGCACAATGATGCACTTGTTAGACGCGTTTGTCAACACAACTTTTGTAAGATGAGCTCGATTCGAAACGGTCTTTGCGGTACAAAGAAAAGCGCTCAACTAAACGTAACGCAGAAGGGCTGGCTAGCATAGTAAGAAAAGAAGATGCGGCAAACCGCCAGGTCAGTTGAACACAGCATGAGATCTTAGGAAGGTCAGGTAATTTTTGAAAGAAGAATCGGGGACCAACCGCCCACATTCTTGTCCGACAAGTTTAAATATCTTCTTACGAGCATGCACGAGCTTGAACGAACTTGTTCAGTCATGTAGCGCAGAAAATTTAAAATAAAGCATTAGAAAAGGCAATATTACAAAGAAATTGTTTAATTATAAGTTTTAGTGTGTTTATTAGTGCTTATTTACATCGTTTTATTAGTACACTTAGTTTGCTTTTGTTTTCTATTGCGTTGCGCACGCGCTTGGTTAGGAACATTGAGGAATGCCGATATTATTTCCATATGATTTTCGTAGATTATGAACGATTGCGTTCGATATGTCATTAAAGTTAGAGAAGCGCATTTGAAACTAGGGACGCTAATGATATTCACTTTGAACGATTAGCGATAGTAGCCAAATATTTAGGTAGCTTGTACATATGTAGGAACATGCTGCTAGTGACGTTTATGTCACCAGCCACAAAACACCTGACATTTGGTGCGTTAGTTCGTAAATTTGTGAGTATGTGATACCGGTGTGCGATGTAACTAATGTTTTCATCCCCAAATTGTTAAATTATCCATGTGCACAATGCCTGAAGATCAAAACCGAAGTAAACATAACACATAACCTCCCAGTACCGAATTACATGAGCATCTATGGGTTTTAGCATGATTCCTATCTGGTCCCTGTGGAAGCATTACATAATTGTAGCGTTATCATTACTTTTACATGCTTATAAGTTTTAGAATAATATTAACGACTCCCGCACGATAACTTTTGACTCGAAGAGTGCTAAGTACACGCCACACGAGTCGCGTTTTTCTCAAATTTCTTCTATCAACATAACATTCGGATAGATGTATATGAAATGTGAATATTTATTTATAACGGCGGGCGAATCACATAACGAAATTGGCTCTCAACTCGAATATTATTCGTCGAGCGTGTACAGAAGCCTAGTGGAACAGTAGTCCAAAGGCGTAGCGTGCAGGCGGTCGATAACAACGCGACGCTGGATTAATTATTACGTACTATTTCAGGTGTATTCAACCACCGGCAACAAAATCTAGAGTAAATTAAAATTAAACAACAAGTGCAACATTATTACATAAATAGATTAATTTGAAATTTCGTGTGAATTCCTGCAAAAATGTTGTTCCCGGCGTTGTCCGCTACTTTGCGCACTGGCCTGTGGGGCGCTGACGCGCGCTTCGTTCGTAGTCAAGGATGGGGAAACGCAACGGAGCGACTCCGGTTGTCACTGTCAGCGCAATCGTCCGTCATGAGCACTCCGGCATGTTCGTCCCCGCGTACTTACGCCACCGAACAGGGCGTACAAAAATCCCTTACCATCAACAACATGAATCCGCAGATCAAGATCATGGAGTACGCGGTCCGTGGTCCTTTGGTCGCACGTGCTGGTGAAATTGAAAAGGAACTTGAAAAGGTACGAGACTTTGTTTCTTTACTCTAAATTTCGTTGTCCTGGCAACCTGAATCGACAATCCTGAACATGCGCAACTACATGTTGATTTAGTTTTTTAATGGTAACAGAAGTTGTAAAGTTTATTCAGGAAAACCGCTAATTAATTACTTATTAAATTTGTTTACGCGTTTTTCTTATCGGCTGATTTCATTGTTTGGTAACCAGAATTCCCAGCTTGGCGAGATTTACTCGGTGTGATAAGTAATATCGTTAAATTAATGAATATTCCTATTTTTTAATATAACTGGTTACTAAACTAAGCTAAGCGGTAGCGCATGTTACACGAACCAGTAATTCAATTGAAGGTCAAATCCATCGTTCTGTCTGACCTCTGTTTTTACTCATTCAAATCAATCAAATTATGTGTGACACAACTATGTAAAAGTATTGTATGTAAACAAATCCGAAGTTCATTGTTTGGACTTGAACGTTTAACTGTTTAAAACTAAACACCTGTTATACCAATTATGTCAAGATATATATAATTGTAATATTTATTTCTATAGGAATTGCAATTTCTATTAGTCGTATTTAATGAAAATTAATAAGTGTTGTTTGTGCATTGAAACCAGTTGACACCAAATAAGCCAGATAAGACGCAATGATAAATATTCCATGTTTCAACTATGGTCTACGCAATTGCGATAATGATTCGTTGTAGATTACTCAAATCCCAATCACGTGTATAAGTATATAACATTTTTGGCGCTGTTTTGATGCATCACGCTCTCGAATAGCGGAAAAGCCTGTGCGCTAAAAATAACATACAGAATGACTTTCGCAATTTTTGTCTCTTGGTTATTTTCGAGTTCAAAACTTACTTCGTATAAATAGGCTATTTAAAGGAAAAAAAATAACAATGTAGCATAATATATTCGAAATTTTTCCAATGACCTTAAAATTTTATTACTTTTAAGTACACGTTTAATTGGCAAAACTGATTAGTTATCAGTTATGAGTACATGATAAACAAATGACGTAATTATTAATGTGTGATATTTTTGCAGGGTGCGAGTAAACCCTTTAATGAAGTCATTAAAGCCAACATCGGTGATTGCCATGCTATGGGCCAAGTGCCCATCAGCTTCATCCGCCAGGTGCTGGCGCTTTGCACCATGCCCGAGTTGCTGGACGACCCACGATACAACGAAGACGTAAAGGAACGCGCACGTACCATCCTCAAGGGGTGCCGTGGCGGTTCGGTTGGTTCCTACACCGATTCCACCGGTATTGAAATTGTTCGAAAACACGTCGCTGAGTACATTGAAAGGCGTGATGGCATTCCATGTGATTATCAGAATGTAATTCTTAGCGGAGGTAAGAAAACATAAGTAAATACACTAAAAGTAAGCGGTAATTATTTATTTAATTGTGTTTAGGTGCTAGTGATGGTATCAAAAACATTTTGAAGTTGTTGATCAACCCAAAGAACGACAAACCTGTTGGTGTGATGATTCCCATTCCGCAGTACCCTCTGTACTCAGCGTCTCTATCTGAATTCAAACTTGAACAAGTTGGTTATTATTTGGATGAATCAAGGGGTTGGGGATTGGACACTTCTGAATTGAAGGTACATTATATTTGCTTAATAACAAAAAAGTTGATTACTATGAATTATTTCTATCGTAGCGATCGATTTCTGAAGCGAGACAAAAATTCGACGTGAAATGTTTGGTGGTAATTAACCCAGGCAACCCAACTGGTCAAGTTTTGTCCAGGGAAAATATCGAGGAAATTATTAAGTTTGCATATGAGAACAATCTCTTCCTCTTGGCTGATGAAGTATATCAAGACAATGTGTATGCACAAGGCTCACAATTCCATTCATTCAAGAAAGTGAGTTTATTTTAATATAAATATAGATATTTAACATTTACTGATATTTGTATTGCATTATAGGTCTTAATTGAAATGGGCGCACCCTACTCTAAAATGGAACTAGCCAGTTTCATGTCCTGTTCAAAGGGCTACATGGGTGAGTGTGGTCTACGTGGAGGCTACGTTGAGGTGATCAACATGGACCCTGAAGTTAAGGCCATGTACCTTAAAGCTATTAGTGCCATGCTCTGCCCAACTGTACTTGGACAGGCTACAATTGATTGCGTTGTTAATCCACCTAAAAAGGGTGAACCTAGTTATGAATTGTTCATGAAGGAGAAGAGTAGTGTATTGGATTCGCTCAAAGTATGTTTTTTATATATTTGCAAAGTTATTAACATATACTAATCAATAATTTTGTTTATAATATAGTTGCGTGCTAAGATGGTGGAAGATTCCTTCAACGCAATGGAAGGTTTCAGTTGCAATACTGTTCAAGGTGCCATGTACGCATTCCCGCAGTTCAAATTATCTGATAAGGCTATCGAGGCAGCCAAGAAGGCAAACAAAGCCCCTGATGCATTCTACGCTTTTGAACTACTGGAAAACACAGGTATTTGTATTGTTCCCGGATCCGGTTTCGGCCAGAAACCAGGAACCTGGCATTTCCGTACTACGATTCTGCCCCAACCCGATAAATTGAAGATTATGTTAGAGAAGTTCAAGAATTTCCACGCCGAATTCATGAAGAAGTACAAGTAAATTTGACCCAAATAAATTGTCACAAGTTTTAAAATTTAATCTAAAAGAAAATCATGGAACTCTGATTATACAAATAAATTATTTATATTAAAATATACACTGTGACTATCATTATGTTTTGTTGGGTGATCGAGTTTTACTCCGAAAATAGAAAATCGAAAACCGTAGCAGTGTGTGAAAGTTGGCTGACAAGTGGCGCATAAAGTTTAGTCCCTTGACTGGCAAAGCTCTTGCTTGACACATAAGGGCACCGTTGAAACTTCCTCGCTCGTCGGCACTTATTTATTTAACGATTAATTTTGTACTTACTTGCCGGCGTCTTACACTCTCCGCGCCCGCTATCATAACTATTTCACGGGTTTATTCCACATGCTGCATGTAGGTAGATTAATATTAACACGCGACCACATTTATTATACTCCTGAGGTTGCTACGCTAAAATTAGCTTCGTCGGAAAAATCAACTATGAAAAATAAACATTGAAGTTTTGTTTATTCTAAGTTAAGTTTAAATTATAATAATTTGATTATGCGCAGTGCATCAATATAAGTTTGTATTGTGAACCTAGATGACACTACCATGGATTAAATATTTGTTTGTTGAGGTCGAGGTCAGTGAATGCACGTCCGCCGTGTAAGTGCCGCGTAGTGTGCAGATTGTCTGTTATCAGTGAACTTGTTTGTTATTTCATTTCAATGTAAAAGTGCATATTTTGACTCAATTCTCGCAAACGCTGCGAAACAGTTTATTCGATGAACATCAACAGTCGCTACACGAGATTGAAACATGAGGTAAAAAATACTCTTAGTATTAAATAGCAAGTTATACTCGTATATAATTTGATTTGCATTCTTCTAACATCCTGCATTCGACAGTGCGTAACGGCTTATAACGTGTAGTTACATTGTTGGCCGCTAGGTGACGCTCCCTACACGATTAATCTAAAAGTTGAGTTGCCGTTCAACCGGCTTCAACACGCCGCACAGAAAATATTCAGCACAGCGTGCTTGTTTACAAACTCTTAAAACTAGTTTTTGTTTGTTTTTGCGCGTTGTATCTGCGCGATTGGGTTCGCCGGCGTTCTTATCTCGCTGCATTCTTGAACACTATTGTTGCTTAGAACACAGTGTCAGAACCATGTTCGTATCGTGGCACAAAACGTGTAGCCATTTTTCGTTGCAATCAGTCGTGTATTTGTATAAAAATGTTAATTTTCAATCGGGAAACTATAGTGCTATTAGTTTGGTGTTTTCCGGTCATTGCAATCCGCGACGAGTGTTAACATGTAAGTACCTATGATTATATTCTGTACCAAGCATATTTGTAGTTATAGTATAGTAGTTTATTGGCTGCCTCGAAGCTAAAATCAATTTTCCGTTGGAAATATGCACTGAAAAACTCAGGTTACTTTGCAAGTGGGCAAAAAAAAAACTTGCTGGTTCATGTGTATTCAATTGCACAGAACAGAAATATATATTACCGGTAACTACTCTGGATGCTTCTACTAATGTTTCCTCCCGTCGGAGGCTGGTAACGTGGGCGTGTAAAAGGATTTGAAGTTGAAAAGCGCGACGAGCAGCTGAAGTAAGAGATAATGTTGAGAAGTTGAATTTGTAATACGTCAACGAAGGAAATGACTAAAGTTATCGAATCAAATGTGACATAATAAGTAGAAAAGTTTCAGCGGCATGCTCGTGGAATACCGACAAGTAGAGAAACGAACGATGTTTGTTCGGGAAGTATAAACATGTTTTGCATTGATTAATTGATTTAGCGGTGTTAAAATTGTTGTAATTTTAAATTAAAATCTAAATATTTTAATTTAATGATAAATTCATTGCGAGTGCAGTTGTACAAGGTGACTTTGTCATTGCCATTAGTGAAATTCGTGTCGCACTCACAATCAGCCTGATAACAAGCCGACAAAAACACTTAACAATAATTTCGCGCACATCCACTCGTGCGGGCGCGTTACTAGCGTGGCGCTGAAGAGGGTGTTTGTGCTTCCGGTACGTTACGAAATTAACACGAGCATAACGCTGTTTTAATGTGACACGTAATAGGCAGTTTTAACATATTCAAAATACAAATGCGGTTTCACCAAGCGCACGAATAAAGAGTGATGTATGAAATTACTTGATGCATCTTGTTCTCGTGTTTTAAAATTATTTTTGTTGTCAAGTTGGAATTAAATCATAGAATAATTAGGAATTAAAATAACACTATACTTACGTTAATTTACGTCATTTTGATAATAACAAAACACAAAAAAAACACGTGGAAAGGAAAATGATTATAATCGAATCATTTTTTCCGTTATATGATGAAAATTGTTTTAAAAATACAGAAAATCATGGGTTAGGTAAAGGTCAAATATAAACAGTGTGGGTATAGATATTTTTAGACTGTAACTATGAATATAGATTGATAAACTATGCAAAAGATCCACTTCAGTAAAATTATGTTACTTCCACTAAAATCGAACAAGAAAGTCGTGAGATACAATTATTTAAAATAATTTAAATATCAGTTGAAGCGTTGAAGTAAAGTCAAAACTTTAATGCAATCTTTAACTTACTGCGAAACGGTTATCTGTCGAGCTTAGAGCGAAAGTTCGTAATTATTTTCACCCTCGTGTGAAAATCTCAAAATTGCAACTTAAAAGTTTCGTCCGAGCGAGAAGTTCTACTCGTCTCATCGCTTCGGCAAACTTAATTATAAACTGCAACAAAACAGTAAAAGAAAACTAGCCGAAAGAGGAGTGTCGTTTTGCATAATATACACCGGCCCTGCGTTTGCAGCACGCGCAGCTCTGTGGAGCATCAGAGCTAACGCTGTTCGCATATATTAACGCCTTTTGCGCCGCCAAAAGCAAAAACAAAAAAGTGTTTAAAATTTCAAATTACTTTTCGGAAGATTTTTGTCTGATTTTGTTTGTAACACGTGTATGCAATCCATTATGCAACGGTGCAACCAAACAGCAAAGCAAATGAAATGTGCGAATCGAATGAAAGGCAGGAAAGTGGAGCAGCACAGTGCAATAGAGTCGGTCGTGACGGTCGGGGTTGAGTAGATTTCTTTGTGTGCACAATGCGGCAGCCAACCCAGGCCGACGCGAACTTCGCTTGGAATAGGTCGAGTTCATTGTTTCGTGAAGATCGCGTTCGCGTTCCGCGTTCGTCGTTCCAAATAGTTTCTGCATCGACATGCGGCCCCCGCATTTGAATATTTATCATTTGTGTACTGGGATGCGTGCGCGCTCGTCGGCCGTCCGCTCGCGCAGTGTTGTCAATCTACGAGCAGACCTAGCTGCTAGCTGGCGGGTAGTCAGTGCGGCCGAGAGTACCTCAATTCAATTCCGGTTTATTAAACTTTGTGCATTTTAAGTAACATTAATTTAAATTAATTATCTATCACACCCATGTAGAGATACTTCAGTCGTTTGCATTAAAACTTTGTTTTTGTTGAATTAATTACATTATTTACTTTGAGTTGTTCAAGCAGATATCAAATAGTTACCTAGTGATTGTTGCATAATTAGTGAACAAAATATAGTATAGTTAGTATATAAAGTATAGTTAGATATTTTGATCGTAGTTATATTTTGTTATTGATTATAAAACTTTCTCATAAAATCGTCTAAATATTAACTTTTTAAAATTAATTATACCTACTTCCTTTAACAAATAATTTGATTTTTTCTCGAAAGGATGTAAGGAAGAAAGGATTGAACAACTCAGGTACACCTGAGCACGTTGCAAGCTTCACGCGGCCCTTTTACCTGCAGAAACCCGTATAAAGTAGTGGGGGAAGTAAGTGTACGAACTGCGGGTACCTGCTCCATGAGTCATTAGCTGTGTGCCTAAAATGTGGGCGATAACTATCGTTGCAGACTAAATTGATCTAATAATAGTTTTAAAAAAATTAAATAAATTCAATTTTATTTAATATAAAAATTATGATAGAATTTAAAGCCAAAATAAAATAATTTCCGCCGTGCTAGGTTAATATAGGTCAAAAGTTTTTCCCACACAGCTTTTTCTTTTCACCTCGAACATATAAACCAACTTGATTTTCCCTTATCGCGGCTTTCTTTCTCGTGCGCTTTTCCTTCGCACTCACCGCGCTCGCATTTTGCTAAAGCCACTACACACTTGCGTTCGAGTGTACACCACAAGGGATAACAAGTACGACTGAGACTACTGAGAGTATTCTACTTTAGTTCGGTTGGGGGCGGCGCTGCACATACACACACACACTCACTTTATAATCCTCAAGGTGCTCCATCACCCCTTTGAATAAAAGGTCCGCACAGAATCAACTCGCGAGCAGCGTCGTATCCTAACCCTAAACAACCCTAACGCACGAGGAGTTTCTAGCTCGGCGACACGCGCCCTGACACGTTGGACACACGTGCGGAGAGATCGCAGAGTACCTGCTCGCTCGGGTTTTGGAGGCGGTTGGGAAGCCGGGAGATGTGGGATATTTGCGAAAGGAAAGTCGAGGTAAATGCCTTCCAGGAAGCAGGAAACGTACGCTCGGGATTATGTAGCTAAACGAAGAAGCAATTGATACGCATTCATCGCGCGGCTTTGTGCTCGCGAGCGCCTCAACCCGGGGCGACGACGACGGCGACGGACGACGTCTCAATGACTCTTCGGGTGCGGGGTGCCTAACTCCGGTTTTCCGGCTCTGTCTTCTTCCGGGAGACCCTTAAGGGTTGACATCGTTGTAATTTTGAGTGTTTGCCAAAGTAAAATTGGTTAAATTTTCAATATTGCATCACTACTAACTAGTTAAACTTGGTTTTTTATTCAAAAATTGATTTTTAATCGAAATAATTTGGTTGTGATGTAGTTTTAATTTGTGTTAAACAAGCATGCGAATGGGAAATGATTAGGAATTGAAAAGTTTTGCCTCTTTTCGCTAGGGGTGTGCGCATGAGCGGGCTCGCACCAGGACCTATCTAACAAACGGCGAACGCGCTCACTCGGTCGGCCCCGACGGCTTCAGTTCACCCGCGTGCTCGACAGCGTGAGGGTTGGCATTCCGACGCGGTCGCGTTCCACGCCGCTTTTTTGCCGCCGATAAAGTTTCCAAAAGACGCGTTTAATTACGTAAACATTCGCAAAGTTCGCCGCATGTGTGCTGAATCAACACGAATAGTTTTCCGACTTTTTCTTGGATTTTCCCCGTTTGGATTAAAACTTTTCAAAATAAGGTTTGTCATTAAAAAAATTAATAATCCCAATAATAATTTAATATTTATATAATATTTTATTAAGTTATCTTTAATTAATATTTATAAGTCTAAATATTAATTTAAATACGACAAACAAAATGCGTCTGGGGATAGCACTGGTGGCTTTTGAAATGTGCGTTTGAGGCGCGCAATTCTTGTTGCTTTTCAATTTCAATTTTTATTTTATTTCGGCCGCTTGGATTGCTTGCTGTTTATGTACAAAACAAGCACGGCCCATTGAACGTCACGTCGACGCGCGCGCGCGTAAAACATCCCTTATTTAATTTCATTTAATTTCGTTTAATTTCGTTACGCTCTTTCGTCAACCGGGGTGCAATAAACACGCCGGGGCATAGTTAGTAAATTTCAATTAACACTTGTAAATATTTAAACTTCAATTGTGTGTCAGTCTTGTTCTTCCTGCCTGCCTTCTTTGGCGACGCGTTTTTCAAGTCCTTTTTTCCACCCCGTTCGCGGGACCAAGTTTTATTGCACGGACGAAGGACGAGCCTCGAGTCACTTCAGGCCGGGGGTAACTAGTTCCGTGCGCGCAAAACCGTTTCTAACTCTGGCGGTATGGCAGCGCCGTTGATTAAATACTCTTATAGGTAATTGCTTTTTCTAATTAGAAGCGACGTTTGTCTCTGGCAAACGCTGCAAGTCCAATGATACTTTTCTCACTTCAGTTGGTACTAATTTCTTTGATTGGTTGAACATCATCATCAAGAGAGTGAAAAACAAGTTTTTTTAAAACTATTTTTTAATTGAGTTGTATAACTCTTGTAAAAAACTAGTTATGTAATAATATTTGTGACAAAAGCAAATTTAGTGTTTATGTTTCGATGAAAAAAATGAAAACAAAACAAAATAATAGCCGAATTGTTTTTCATGTTTCAGAAATTAGGAATCATTAGATTCGCATCGTTGATCGGAAAGCAAGCGAGCGAAAGCAGCGCGCGCGAGCGAGCGGAAGAAAAAGCTCGACAAAAGCCCAACCGAGAAAAAGTCGACAAAAGCTCGAAAAGAATACACGAAGACGAAGACGAGAAAAAACGAGGACGTCGAATAAATGTCCACACCGATGTACCGCTTCCGGAACCGAGTGCTGCTAATTGACTCTTAGTGTGCGTTCCGTCCAGTTAGTGGTGCGCAGCGAATTGACCGGACTTATTATCGACTGATTTTCTCCGCCGGAGTTTCGGCGTCCGCGCCGCGTCCCGACTCCCGGTGGTCGTCGCCGCGGACGATCCTAACGCCTACGCGTTCTACGTCGGTGTGACTAAGTAGTGAGTGTGTGTACATCATGACGAAAATGTCCAAGTTTCCCATCGCGAGACTGCTGGTCCTCATCGGCGTGCTTTTTCAAGGTAAGTTTTTGTTATCTTTAATTACGAATTAATTGCGGAGACGTCTCGAACTAATAAAATCAATACTCGTGAAAAACAACTAAATAAATAACGCAAAAAAAACTTTGTCTACGTGGAATTTAAAAGTACGAGCAAAAAGTTGAAATTCAAATTTTCGCGTGCCGGTGGTAACAAATCATCTCCACCTTCACTTCACCACTCTACTTCCGAGGGTGTGAGAAAGAAAAAAAGGTTTTCAATGCAATAAAGATGTTGGTAGCGAATGTTTGCAAAAACTTTTTCATAAAGTTACGTGCTCACACCTACGACGACCGTGCTCTCGCTTAAAAACTGTTTACAGTCACCTTTTCTTTGATACCTTTAAAAAAATCAGCCCCAAATGGCCTGTTATCTTCATAGGGATGTTCGCCGTCGGGTTGATCTGCATGTTATTCTCGGGCACCTTGAATACTTATCCACTCTTCGATAAATTTAGCGTGGGGTGCCGAAACAGTCAAACACCGGCACTAGGAAACCCACGTCTACACTTGAAAGGAAAAATATTCCTTAACTTCTTTAGCGAAAGTTTGCAATGAAGCTCAAACAGTAATTAGCCTTGTAAATATTATCTTTATCTTTTTTTCCGAGATTTTTCGGCGTTTTTTGCGCTGTGTGAATAATTTATATAAGGGGGAGGCTTAAGAAAAGATGTTAGGTGTTTTTATCTCCTGCAGGCGTATGACGCTAGATTGCAACGCGTTATCTTAATGAATCCAGAATGCATTTTAAGGTAATTCTATTTTTATTATGAGCTGTGTAGTTCTAGGTTGATATAAATAATTTGACACTGGTTTACAAATCCGAACAAATTACATGTTTTGTTATAAATTGTATTTCCTCATTCAAATACTCGAGGTTGATATTATTTATTTATTGGAATCAATATTGTATGTGAGGAATTCCGTATCGGAAACCAAATAACGAAATAACAAAGAGAAATATTTTTATTACGACGTGAGTATTGTAATCATAATGATAATGAGGACGTTTGTTTGAATTATAACAACATTTTGGGGCTAAATTATTTATCGAGGACACGTGCTATAAAAAAATGTGTATGTTTACTCGTAACACTGGCGTACTAAATATTTGATTATTTTATTACTGATTTTTATCATTTTTCATTAATATCTAATTGCGGATTAATAGTTGAACAAATATGTAATTTTATCTTTGACTGAAGTCGATAAAATAATAATTAGTGATGTTTTTATTTTATAAAGAATTATAAAGTAAAAAATAGATACTGACCATATTTGGATAAATATTGTTGAGTTGGGTAAATGTAAAGTTTTCACTCACGCGAGCAAATCGTCGAATCGGAAATTATACCCCTGTGGCGCGCAAGAAAGTCGAGCTTTCAACCCATCCTCGGCACGTTGATTGCACTTAAATCATTAAGGCATTCGATTATGCGGGGGCACACGACGACGTCCTAATTCGCCCGCCAGTCGTCGGCGTTGTCGTCGTCGTTAGATTAAGGAAGGAAATAATTTGGTCGCAATCATCTGTCATACGACTCTATCTAACTGCCGAGGAACGCCTCGCCAGAGCCGCGTAAAGTTGTGATTATTGTGTGTGCGAGCACACCGCGAATCGATAATTTGAATCGCCGTGTGTTTTTCTTTGCCAAAGCGGCGAAACAAAACGCACCACTACTAAACTACCACTAAGCGAGTTATTACTATAATTCGATTTTCTTAATGGCACTAGCTTTTAATTTTAAGCGAATAACATGACGTTACAAAAGTTTATAAAACAAACAATTATGTTTAGAATGTTTAGAATTGTTAATGAGTTTTCCATTTTGTTTCGCTTCACACGTTGCTAGTGTGAGGTTTTCAATTAAAGTTTAAAAATGACATTTCCTGAACGCAGCCAGCGACGTTGGTTGTTAAAGGTAAATATAAACACGTAATATGCACTTTTCACTTTTCTGCTGCTGCAGACTGCAGTTGCCAGCATGCAGCTAGTTTGCTTCTCGCGTCAGATTCACATCGCTTTTTGCGCCCGCTTGCAGCTCACAACTCTTCAACTTCACGAATATTATGTAAGTGGAAAGCACTACGCGTAATGCACGCTCGTGTGCGACACCTTTTCGCGATACTTTTTTTCCTCGCCGAGGGTTTTTCCATGAATAATTTTAAATCTGTCATACCGTTTTCGAAGACCTGCGCGCTTCTGCTGTACAGCGAAATCATAGAGTAAGGTTACTCACGCGTCAACCTTACTCCTGACGCTTGGCGCTTCGCTCGACGTCACATCCGGCCGACATGTTCATCCGATGTTTCCCGCGCGCGCGCGCCCCCTTTGCAAGTATGTGTGTAAATCTCAGCGGGTGTGTGCCGGACGCTGTCCGTTAAAGTTGCGCGGCCCCGGCCAACTTTAGATGAGTTTTTCTTTTCAGTTTTCGCACAACACGCTTGCAAACATCGCACGTCTCCACCGGTAGTAGTCAATTTGACGCGCCCACATGGACTCTCCAAACAAAATATGCCTGAAAATCTCGACACATTCTCCAACAACTTCTAACCCGAACTCAAACACAAACAGTGCTATCACGCAAAAACGAAAAAAACTAAAAGAAAAGTCAAAATAGAACAAACAAAAGAAAAACCAACACGAAATCGAAATAGTTGGAATGAGATGTTGTCAATGTGGAGGAAACATCAAGAAAATCAACGATACACTTAGAAATCCTCATCGAGATTGCCCAATGCCTCCGAAACCGGAGTTTCCGTCTTTGATTCTTTATTTTAGTTGTACTTTTTGTACGTTGTGTTAGTTGGGTTGTCTACTTTGCAGTTGGCAGCCATTGGTGGTGCGGGCGCGTGTTTGGAGGGTGGGAAGTTATGACATTTTGTGTTTATAGCCTCGGATTATTCGCCGAGATAGACTTTGAGAGAGAGCGCGTGTTTAATATGTTATGGAAGGACTTCCAAGGGGTTTATTTACCGCGCACAACGACTTATACACCTAGAGCGTAAACATAGTTTGGATTACGCGACCGAGAATTTCTCCTCATATTATATTATACACCAGACGCTATACAGGAATGCACGCAATCAGCAAACGCCCCAAAAAAACAAATTTATGCATGTATATTACACGTGTTTATGTAAAGTTGCAAAAAGCAAGCGCTTTCAAATTCTGCACTATTCTGAGCGTCTTTAGTCAATCGCGATGGTAGCATCACCAAAGCAAAACTAATAACCATCTAATGGTATCTTTAATTACCACAAACTTTGATTAAACCACCAAAGCACACTTCCCTGTATAATAATTCACGTTTAATGAACTCACTATTAATAAAGTTGCGTTCCCAAGGTCTATATGGTAAATAAGCGAAATTTCACTCGACGAATTTCCGATATTCTACGCACAAACATCTTGTTTTGATCATCTCAGAAATATACCAGCAACAATTTTTGCGGCGCGCTTTTTAATCAACCCGCCAGAAGACATTTTAATGAAACATTATACGCACGTCTATTGTTTTCGTTTCCGAGTAATATAAGCGAATCGCCCGTATTACTCGTATTCATGAGTTTTAATATAGAAATAATGTTGTAATGTAGGGCGAAAGACGACGGGGGTGCTTGGGTGCTCTCCGGGTCGTTACACGAGTACAGCCAGCAACCACACGTACACACACGTCGCGTGGTAATGGCACGCAAGTAGCCTATCTACATTTTGCGTATTTGGCTTTTTGCGCTATTCGCGAATGGAACTTAATTTCCATTATGCTCGCTTGTAACATTTCCTCGTTTTCAATAACAACATCTTCTGTCTGTGTGTGTTTTCAACGATGCGAGTATCATTTTTATATTAAGTAGATGATTTTTTTTATAAGAGTAATGTGTTTGTTTTTTACCGATACTCATAAAAATTAGATTTTTTATTGCGCATTTTTTTTACTTGCGGTGACTGCGGTGGGAATTTACATGACACTGCCATTTCTCCACGCAGAAATCGCAAATAAGTCAGCGCGTGCACAGAAGAATCAATGGCATCGCATAAATCTCGCAAATGAGCTCGCATTTTCGCCCTTTCCGCGCGATATATAGACGTATATCTTGAGCGCGGATATTTTTGCCGTTTTTCACTTCTCGCCGTGTGTTTTCGCATCTTTCTTGCCGCTCGCGCCGTAAAACGTTCGGATCGTACCAGTACGAATTGCGGGACGAATCGCACGTAATTTAAATTATATCTATCCGGCGTCGAAATGGTAAGATACCTCAATAAACTATAGATATAGTAGTAACGGCGTAAGAAACGAACGGAAGAAATTCCAGGAGAAAACGCTGCTGGTAGCAGTAGCGCAGTAGCAACAAAACAAAACTTTATCTGGCCATGAGAGCTTTATGACGCCACAAAATGTAACGCAAACGCTCTGCGATGGTCGCTCGCAGCCGCCGCAGCAGCTGAAAACAAAACGCAACAGAAAAAAAAACACAAAGAAATTGGATAAAGGAGGGTATCCATTCTGTGCGGATATGAAATAAAACGACGCTCGCCAGCCCGTTTTCTTCGGCGGACAAACTGCGTTTTCAGTAAATCTAAATTTAAAACGCTTTGCGTTTCTTGCGCATCCTTCTTTGTGTGCTGCGCTCATACACAAATGCCAATTGCATAGATTTATTGCATTGCACTTAAATATTTACTGTTGATATTTATCTACTCATTCTTTGGAATATTTTGAATATTCAGAGTCGAAAAGAAGAAAAATATATCGTGAATTTTAGTTTTCTGAGTTTTCATATAATTTTACTTATGGAAACTTAATTTTTTAATAATATAATATTAAATATATCATGTTCTAGTGTTACAAGCCAATTTTCTTTTCATTTTTACGATGTTTTTAATTTTAAATTTTTTAAACGTAAAATTATCATAAATTAACATTTTTTGTGTGAATTATTCCCCGCTCACGCGTGAGCGCGTTTTTCGGTAAACACTGC